TAAATTAGTAAAAAATCAATTGTTCAAGTTTACTTGTTTATCGATAATCGATTTTCGTAAAGTACGATAATAAATTCTATCGAGTTTAAAATAGAATAAGCAATATTTCGATTTTTATATAGTACCTAAATTATTTAGATTCTCTTAATCTTTGAAATCAGAAAAATATACAATTTAATTGTATTCAAATTCATTCTTTATTATATGTTACGCTAACAATCATACAAATATAAAAAAACATCTATTTAAAGGTAAATAGTGTTGTTCTTCCTAAAAATTTCGAGTTTGAAAAATAGTATTTACAGAGCGTGTGCGCTTTGTCAATAACTAAAAAAATTCTAAACATATTCTACGTTATAATCGCTTCATAATATTAAAAAAAATATAGGTGAATAATAATTCATTTTTTGTGAATAAATACATTTACTTGTATATTTCTTAAAAAAGTTAATTGATAAAAATTCGATCTAATTCCATATATTATCATCATTTTTATGACAACAAACAATATTTTAATTTAGAAAACTATGATAAAAAACTAGAAAATAAAGGGAAAATGATGTATAAAAGTTATTTTAAAAAATAAGTTAGAGTGTTTGATAAAGTTATTTAAGATAAATACAATATCGTAAAGTCATTCTTTATTAAGGTTGATGTCAATGATTCTGTCGAAGATAAATTAAAAATGAGATTAAATTAAATAGAAAATAAATTGAAATAGACAAAAGTTTACATTGTCCAAAAAATACAAATATTTACGCGTTGGGGACATATGTAAACATAAATACAAATCAAACCAAATCGAAGGCTGTTTTTGATATATTAATGCGTAGAACAGTGGGAATTGAAGTATAAGACATGTAAATCAGTGCCACTTCAAGGCGGGATAATGGGAGTAGTTGAATAGTAAAAGCTACAAGCAAAAACTGCAGGCTAAGTGTTGGTTCGGTTATTATCATTGCCATTTCCATTTGCAGACAAATTCCTCGCAAGAAGTTCCCGTAAACATTGTAAAACCAGCAACTGTAATGATGAGGAAACTGGGAAAACAAAAAGGTCATAAGTGATGATCAGTCGTGGTGCCGTCAAATTTCATCTCGAAAAAATATAAATAAAAAAACGATCAAACGATTGAGAAAGATTATAAAATATATGTCACAAAAGCAGAAAAACACGTACAATAAAATCATAATTATTCTTATTAAAAAATTAAGAAAATAAACAAAGACAAAAGAGGAACGACAGACATTATTCAAGAAATAAAGACTGGAGTTTATGATTAGAGATGAATCTGAGAGGGGGACGGATGAAAAATAGTTGTCTTTCTAAAATTTTTAAACGTTCATATATTTTAGACATTTTTTATTGATAAAGTATTTTCGAAGTAAATGAAACAATTTTGTCAAATCACGAGCTGCCTTCGAGCGATAATGTTATGTTATTTTCCCATTGCAGTGTTATAATTCCTTGTGCGAAAGGCTGCAGTAGCAGTCCATTAATGTTATGTTATTAATCACTCACAACAAAAGGAGTAATTTTAAAGGCTGCCATCGTTAAATAAGATAAGATGCCCCTTCCAAGGGAAGGCAGCGACGTCGTGTACTCAATCATGACCAGAAACAGCAAACTTAATGTTCTCTTCATAAAATCCATTATGACGATCAACGGCAGGGATACAACCCTAATTATTCACTCATCTGAATTGTAATTAATTTTGTGGGGGGGGGGGGAATATGAAGAGAAACTGAGAGTGGCAGTGATGCAGGCATTGAATTTCACACTTCACCCATCACCGGTCCATATTAATTTCGATTAATGGTGCTAATCAATTTTTACATTTACTTCATTTCTCCATTGCCCGTAAATATATCGATTTTTTTATTAATCGTGATGATTACAAGTGGTAGAATCTGTTTTAGGGTAGTTATAAGTTATAGATAGTTTTTGATGTATTTGTATTTGCTTTGGTCTGCTCTCCTTATTTACTATCCTATCAAAGTGTACACTTTTAAAAAATGGCGGGCCCTTGTTCTCATATGTAATGGGGTAAGGGGAGATAAGATAGTAAGCTGTCCCCAACAACAGATTGAGAGTAGTTTCTGTAGGAGACTTCTGAATTATGAAATACCCTCCGTGAGACTCGATCCCACAACCTCAAAGTGTACACTTTTCATCCACTTAAATTTAGGGAGGTTTTTAATAAAGCACTCTATTCATGTGTCGGCTCTTGTGATTCTAACAAAAAATCATATTTTCCGAGCAAAGAAAAGTGATAATATATGTTCTAAAGACTTTCAATCATTTGACAATAAAAACTAAAAAATTATGCATCTAAAACCACTAATAATAAAAAACATTCTTTTAACTATTAAGTTAGTTTAATTCGTGTCATGAACATATTAATTTAAAGCATAAATAAATTAAAATAAATGCGTGTAAATGGATTGGTGGACGCCACTACTGAAATCTAGTTATTTTCTTTCACACTTCTCTGCATTTCTACCAACTTTTTTCTCCTTTTATGTATCTTTTTTCGATAAATTAAACTCTTTTAATTTTGTCAATTAAAATATTTAGTTATTTAAATTATATAAATTAAATTAATATTTTATGGAGAACTTAACATGATAATTTGTGTTTTTCAGACTTGAGTTTTTTTTTAATTATAAATTGACCGTTTGTATTTATTTATAATTCTTATTATAAATAATGTAGAGCATGTCTTGGCCCGACAACAAAGCCGAAATTAATCACATTCTTCGACCACTTTTAATTATCTAAATATTCAATATTATGAGAGTTTCCCAAGCGAAGAGTAATTTGGACATTAATTCCGTGGAAACTTTATCCTTATAATTACTAGTAGTTCCACAACTTTATCTCATGTATTCAATTCTGATCATTGATGTTAAGTACATAGTTTTAAATAGCGTTCACGGTTAAATTTTCGATCGAATTGTGTTTATCACGATTGCGGATATAACGGATGTTATTGCGGTCATTGCGGATATTGCGATCGTGAATTTTTTTGAATGAGCTGATTTTTTTTAATAAAAAAAACCTGTTTTTTAATTAAAATAACGGAATAATAGTGGAATAGTAGTCCGCTATTGCCGTGATCCGTTAAATGCGGCCGCGATCCACCGCTATTGGTGTGATCCCGCTTCACACCGTTATTTTTTACGATAGCGGTTTCGGACACCGTCGCGACCGCGATACTGTTATTCGACCGCTATTTGAAACCCTGATTAAATACAGAATTGGTGGAAAAATCTTTCCCATACCATATTTTAATAAATAAGAAATCTTTTTTATTAGTTATTTTCACTGATTCAATTGCAATAAAAACGATAACTGTACATGAACAGTTTTTCACCAATTCTGTATCTAAATTCAGAAATTTTAATAAATTTAAGAGAAAATAATCCGTTAATGTATTTTTCTTAAATATCACATCAATTATTAATTATGTATTGATTAATTTTTTTAATCAAATATATTAAAAATGATATATACAAGTAGACTTCACTATCGACGGTGAAAGATAAATATACATTGACAAACTGATTTTATCATAATTTAATCACGATCTATTTTTAATAATCACGAGTGTCTATTAATAAAATTGAATTAATTCAAAATTTCAAAACAATTATAAATTAATTAAATAGTCAAATGAACTACAATTAATAAACATCTTTTCTAAATATTAATATCTAGAAAGGAATTATTATAATTGGTTACATCGAATAAATTCGTACGATCTTTTTTCTGTGTGAAAGTCTCATCTTGTTAATCTGGTCCAATAAATTTCTTCTGGACCCCCAAATAAATATATTGTAAAAGCAAACCAGAATTCCTTTAACAGGGATAAGAAAAAAAATTGAGAGACCAAATTTTGACATTTTCAAAAGTAGAAGTACTATATTTGAGTAAATTAAGTAGAGGTATTAAATTCACAAGTTTCCTATAGTACATGAGCTAAATGCAAATTTTGGCTATATTTGAAAATTAAAAATAAGATAACCTACTTCACCAAATTATTTATCTTTTCACACATTTTCATTTGTTTGACTATTGTTTTTGTTCACCTTTTTTTCATGATTGAATTTGACATTGTCACGCTTGATCAAGATGATGCTTATTTGTTATCATGTTAATCTTCCTTGCTATGGGCCCTCAAATTGGATTTAGATACGCGATTTACGTTCTTGGATAGTTTCCTCATGTCGATCGACTCTGATTTGTTATTTTTTTTGTGGTCTTTCAATAGCTTGATCTTCTTTTATTGTTCATTTGTCGATGCGATCATTCCTATTTAAATATTCTTTTGTTCGAGTTTATATGGTTAATTTTTTAACATTTCCCTTATATGATCCTTTTGTGATCTTTAAGTGGCTAGTTCCTTGTGTAAATTATTATAGAAAAATATATTTATTATATATTTAGTTTACAATCGTGGTTGTAAACCATCATTGTAGTTTGAATATTTTTTATGTTTAATAATACTAGCCGATTCTATAGAAAAATTATAATATTGGTGACTAAATTTATAATTTTTTTTAGTTTAATCCTAATGACTTCATTTACTATTAAAAGCATCATATTAAAAGGGGTGACCTAATGTAACATGAATGCCCGTTATGAATGAAACATAAAAAAGACCCTGCAATGCCACAAATCTCATAATTACGGCCGATACAAATTATTTATAACTATCACCCTTTTGCTTTTAACCTATGCGTCTACTTAATTTTATAAAATTGTACCAAACAGCTATATATTTATTATTTACAGTTTACTGCACGCAGTCGAAAGTACGTACCATATGTAATTGTATCGCCTATATATATTTACGTGTACTATGTATTTTACTCCATGTAATTAACCATCATTTCCCCCCTGCTTTCAAGTTTCAACCATCTCTTTCACTGTCTTGTTTCCAAGAACCAAAAGATTTTCTGTGTTCGGTTTTTTTCCCCTTAATATTTACCGAGAAAATGGGACGGTCTCCATGTTGCAATAAGGTGGGGTTGAAGAAAGGGCCATGGACTCCCGAAGAAGATCAAAAGCTCTCAGCTTACATTGGACAACACGGCCATGGAAGCTGGAGAGCTTTGCCTGCAAAAGCTGGTAAGAATATCTTAGTATTTATTTTCCATCGTCGATCACGGTTCTTAATTACTGTTTAATTTGCTTTTTTGATACAATAAAGGGCTTCAAAGATGTGGTAAGAGTTGCAGACTCAGGTGGATTAACTACTTGAGACCCGATATCAAAAGAGGAAAGTTCAGTTTACATGAAGAACAAACCATCATTCAGCTCCATGCCCTTCTCGGAAACAAGTAATTTTTATCATCATTTGATTCATTAATGATATATAAAGTCATCGAGTTGCTTAAATTGATTTGAACATGTGTGTGTATATAGGTGGTCGGTTATTGCAACTCATTTACCGAAAAGAACGGACAACGAGATCAAGAACTACTGGAATTCACATATGAAGAAAAGATTGAGCAAGATGGGGATCGATCCGGTCACCCACAAGCCTAAAATCGATGCCCTCGAGTCCGCAACCGGTAACCCCAGCGATGCAGCTTACCTCAGTCATATGGCTCAATGGGAGAGTGCTCGGTTAGAAGCCGAAGCTAGGCTGGTTCTAGCGTCAAAACTCGTGTCGAACCCTCCTCAAAGCCTTCCGATAGCCGCTGGTTCCTCCTCCTCCTCCTCTTCTTCTTCTTCCTCGGTTATGGCACCACCAATAATTAGGCCCCAATGCATTGACGTACTCAAAGCTTGGCAAGGCGTAGTCACCGGATTGTTCACTCTCAATACCAACAACCTCCAGTGTCCGACACCGACATTGAACTTGATGGAAAACATGTTACCTAACGGATTAATCAACGACTGCCTCGTCGGGAACTCATCGGTTCCTTGTGAAGGTTGGAAAAATAAGGAAAGATTATTGGATACCACTATGAGGTTGGATGAAATGGCTGCATGGTGTCATCAAGATTCATACAAGGAAGAAATTATAAACATGAATATGGAAGGTAATAATTATCCGGATATAATGGTTCGGGATTCCGGCAATGATCATCGGCAGAGTTCGTCAATGGCGGCGCCTAATAAGAACTTGAATGAACCAAACTACGGTGGTGATAGCAGTAGTAGTGTCGAGGAGATCATGAATTACTGGAATAATATCCTTAATTTGGTTACTGATTATGCATGGCTACCATGAAGATTGAATAGGCCAACAATCATGTGGTTAATTTCATCCCCTGTTTAAGTGTTAATAATTTTGATTTCAGTGATAATTAGAAAATATATATTATCCCAAAATCGTCACCTAGTGTTTTCTAATATTATCTGTAGAGACCGTTTTTCGCCCGAGCGGGAGAAAGATCGATACCGACTCGGGATTTTCCTTTGAAGAAGAATTTCAAAATGTGAGGAGTCGCCACCAATCATTTAAGGTGCGATTGTGACACCATAAAAACCAAGTGATTTTAATAAAACATTTTATTTTTATCAAAATATCAAGTTTTAAGGTCTGTAAAAATCCAGAAATCAGGTTCAGGAGTCAGTTACGCGTGGGGAAGGATTAGCACCCCCACAAGCGCCCAAAAATTGGTACCCATTTTGATTACCCTATATTTAAAATCAGAAATTTTGAGTTCGATCTTTATTTAATTTGAAAATCATTACGGATGCAAAGTTAAAAAGGGTATTCATTTATTAAAGTCGATAGCATTCGCCCCTAGCATAAACGCATGAGATCAACTATTGTACTCGATAACCAAATATTGCCTCGATTTTAAAAGTCATGATGTGGTCTTTGGAAAGGATGTCGACCTATTTCGGGAATCACCAATAGTCACCCCTGAGCATACTTGCGGGAGATATATCATTAATTCCCTAATAAATGAATATTGCCTTAGGTTTGAAAATAGAATGCAATCAAACTAATTTTTATTCATCTTAATTAACCTAAGTGTAAATTAAGGCTTTTTCTAGCTTAAAGTGTTGAATTATGGAAATTAAAGAACCTAGAGGCATAAACCTAAAAATGTAGGCTCCAACATTAATCATATTTGATTTTAATCAATCATCGAATCGAATAACCGAGATGGTCCCTCAAGCATTTAGGCGAGGGCCAACTCGTATTATTCCCTAAATTAAAAGACTAGATTGAAATCTAACTAAAATGGATACTCTATTTAACCTATTTAATTATGTCAATCTTAAAGGTCTAATTGAAATTCGGGGACTAAAAGCTCAAAGATCTAAAATATCGAGCTTTAAAGACTAAAAGTTTAAGGACCTAAATCAACAATTTCTAAAGTTGACGACTAATTAATAAACCAAAATTCTATGTATTGTCTAAATTAACCTATTAAAAAGAGCTAAGCCTAAAGTGTCCTTTTTTATATTGAAAATATTAATTATTATTAAATTTTAAAAGTCGAGCAATCGATTCGAGTAATCGGACATCTTATGCGAAAACTCAAGTCGAATTGCTTCCTAATTTCTAAGTCCGATTCAAATGTTAACCTAATCTAAGAACTAAGTCTAAAGGTTTAAACTATGAGATAATCAAAACAATTAATAAACCTAATTTGAAAAAAAAATAACAAATGATAAAAAAAAAGTAAAAACAACATAAAATAAAATAAACATAAATACAAGGACCTAATTGCATAAATATTAAATTGCCAAGCTAAAAAAGAACAAATTGAACATGCAATAGGGGCTAAATTAAAACAAATCAAAATGTAAGAGCTAAATCTAAACAAAATAAAAAAAACAGTAAAGGGACTAAAATACAAAAAACACAAAAAAATTAAAGGTACCTAATGGCAATTTTCCAATTTATTTAAGCTTAAAAACAAACTGTTAAACTAAAAAGGAAAAATTATAGAATCAGTCCACAAAAATTGAAATAAAATTAAAAGGTCATTACACATGACCAAAGTGTAAAAACACGCCTAACTTACATGGACTAAACAATAAATTTACCAAAAAAAATACCATGCATAAAAATAGGTAAATCATAAAATCAGTCCCTACTGGTGATCAAAATGTAAAAACACGCTAAAGTTAGGGGGATTAAAACACGAATAACCCAAAAAATAAAAGACGTACATGTAAATGGGGAAATTATAGAAATGGTCCCCCTAGGTGACCGTTTGTAAAAACGCACTAAAAGTGGGGGACTAATACACGATTTCCCCTCAAATTTCCGCTATATAAGCCAACTTTTCTTTATTTTTCTCATTTCAAACCGAAATCCAAAAACAAAAAAAAAAAAAATTCAGAAATGCTCTCCCATTCCCTAGGTCTGCCCACTACCGACCAACCTCGAACCAGCTCTGACCGCCGTCCAACCGCCGCACACGGTGGTTGAAAAAACCAAAACGATCCAAAAATACCGAAAAAGTAGATCCACTAGCCTAGGACCTTACTTAATGCCAAAACCCCCGAAAATGCCCTAAATCCCCTCAAAATCGACCTAAAACTCTTCGGCTACCCGGACTCCGGCGACGCCTTTGATGACCCAGGTAAGCCACGGTCTATTATCTCTTTTTTTTTCATTCTTTTCTGCGTTAAATGGTTGAATATTATTGTTAAAAAAGCCTCGGTTTTTTTGTTATTATTCGATTTAAAAAACTATTTTTATTTGTTATTCGATATGATGTTTCTATTTTTGAAACGAAACTAATGGATCATTGTAGCTTTCGAAATTGAAGAAAAAAAAGCTTTCATTTTTTACCGAGATTTAGAACCGAACAGTAAAACACGAACGAAGAAAAAAAAGGTAAAAGTAAATAAGACAAAAAATGATTCGAAGTAAAATAAAAGGAATAAACCTTGGTGTTTGTTTATTGCTTTGAAAAAAAAGGTTACAGTGTTTCCTCTTTGACCGACCGAGCCTTTTACAGTGTATTGCATGGGTTTTTTATACCCGTTTTTTTTTACAGAAATGCAATGATTCAAATCTTTGTTTCTTCTTTCTTGTTTCTGCAGGTTACGTGGGGTAGGGCGTGCATGCAAAGCTTCCTCTGGTTGGTGCAGAGATCGGCAACCTCTGGTTGGGGGGAAGGGGCAACTATAGTAGGGTTAGGTCTAGGTTTAGGGCCCCAGATTGGATTCGGTTTGGGTTCCTGGTCGGGTTGTATTTGGGTTTATTTTGGGTTTCTGGATCTGGTTGGGTCTTTCGGGTCTGGTTGTTTTTGGGCTTTTGATTTTGGGTTTCTGGGTCTTGTTTTTGGTATGGGTCGGGTTTTAGGTTATATTTTAGGGTTTGGGTTTTAATTGGGTTATGGTTTGGTTTGGATCGGGTCTTGACTTGGGCCCCAGTTAATTGAAAAATGGTGATTACAGTTGTCCCTCTTTGCTCATTATTGTGAAACGAGAATGAAGCAAAGATAAAAAAAAACACAATTTTTCATCTTGGTATCTTCTTGTCACGCTGCGAATTCTTCGCTGGAAATGTCAATTCATCTCTTTTTGGGAAATCGTCGAGTACTTGCTGCAAATGATGTCATCGTTGTTATGTTCTCTCCGTTGAGTCTCCATCTCTAATTCTTCAAGTTACGGGTTCTTCTCATCATGATTTTTCCACTGGAAATGTTGATCCCTCGATTGAGTGTTGCTGATTCGAAGTGTTGTGAATCGAGTAAAAGGGAGATTAAAAGTGAGCTCAACCATTGAAAACTATAGCATTAGAAAATCGAAAACCTAAAAATCATTTGGAGCAACGTTCTTTTCAACCCACTGATAAGAATAATTAACCGGACCTTCGTTCAAACCAACCTGTCTCATGAAATTGGGTTCAACATTCAAGTAAATCTTGTGTTAACCTCAAATAATGGAATCACAATCACCAATTGTACGTGACACATAAATTATAATGACAAAAAAAAAGACAAATAATGAAATTTCCATACTTTCGTCATCTCCATTAAAACAAGTTCCACTCTGCTTTTGAGAGTAAAAGGCCATCCATTTCTAAGCCAAGTTTATTTCTTTATTAAGTATCATCATCATCATCCGATACAATAGAGATTTTGTAAAGAGATTATAAAAACAGTGCTTTTTTGGATAGAAAACTCGAGACAGGATCATCTTCAGGGCAAAGCAATGGAAGCTATAATCTTTCATTCAAGATCTCATTGATCGGAGATTCGGGTGTTGGCGTGAATAGTTTACTCGTTATCTTAAATTCAACTTTTGCAGAAGATCTAGCTGCCCCCATTGTTTTATTCTTCTTTTTTATTCTTTCATTCTTGGATCTTAGATAAGTTTATGGTAAATTTTGATTTGGGTTTTTGTTTGAATCCATATTGTTAGGTGTGGATTTTAAGATTAAGTTGACAACAGTTGGTGGGGAGAGGTTAAAGCTTACAATATGGGATACTGATATCAACCTCATATCAATACCATTTTTATATTTTATATTTTTTTAGTTTTTTTAATTTTATTTTTTTAGAGGTTAGGTTTTCAAAGAAGAAGAAGATACGTAAACTTTTTGAGATTTTTTATTTTTTAATAATCTTTTCCATGTCAAACTTATGTGTATTTTAATTTTTAAATTTTCACGTAATACTTTAGTTAAAGGATTAACGGAGTTAACAGCTAAGGATTAAAATCGGACGGAGTGATAACGTTAGAGATTATTTACCCTTAATTTTTAATTTAGTAATTAAAGTCGGTCATACAGAAAACAAATGAGACTATTCGTATAGTTTGTCCTAAAAGATTAATTCTTAAAATTTATATCTTTGACTAAATTGATCTTAATTTAAATATATTTAATATTTTGTATTTAAAAATTCTATCAATTTACTTTTTTTCCTATGATACTTATAAGTCAAACAAGTCTGTGCAATAATAAATTATTGTTAAATTGTTTTCATACCCGAATATTAATATAACATATATGGAAAAATATTAAGCAATTTAAAAGATGAATGAAGATTAAATTGATAATTTTAAATATAAATAATTAAATTTATTAAATTATATATATATATATATGAATTTTGAGAATTAAAATTATTATTATTTTATATCAGTTAATATTTCATCTAATATCTAATTTAAATAGTATTTTAATTAAATAGTTAATTTGTAGTAGTATTTTACCCTTACAAAGACAAAACAGCTATGTACGAATCCAATGTTTCCCGGATATGTTACAATTATAAACGTGCCGAGACGTTAGGACGGATCTGAGATTTTAGGACAAAGCTAAGCCTAAGCGTATCTAAAAGTATTCACAGTTTACGTGTCTGTTCCAATCCCGTCCCATCACGTAGCATATTTAACTTCGACCTCTGTCTATTAATTTCGCAAATTTTATTTTTTATTTTTTCCCGATCTCTTCATCTTCTTCTCCTTCTTGCACCCACTGTTTTGCTTTTTCGGTTTGTCGAATCGAAGTTTCGTCGTTGACCATGATTCTCCGATCGGTTTTGGTCCTGGTTCTGTTGGTCGGGATTTTATCCCCTGCATCGGAATCTTTGCGGTTCGAACTGCAATCGGGTCAAACCAAATGCATCGCTGAAGACATCAAAAGCAATTCAATGGCCGTCGGAAAGTACCACGTTGTTAAACCCAACGAAGATTACCCTTTGCCGGATTCTCAAAAGCTCACCGTCAGGGTACTTTAAAAAAACCCAATTTTTTTATCTGGATTTTGTACTTCGATAGTAATAATGAAGAACTTTTGGGTGTAAATTAAATGGTGTAGGTAACGTCGTCTTATGGGAACAGTTTTCACTCGGCGGAAAAGGTGGAGAGTGGTCAATTTGCATTTACGGCGGCGGAGCAAGGAGATTACACGGCTTGCTTTTGGGTGGCGGAGCATTCGCCGCAGATCACGGTGACCGTTGATTTTGATTGGAGGACTGGTGTCCACACTAAGGATTGGTCTAACGTTGCCAAGAAAGGCCAAGTCGATGTAAGCATATCAACCCCTTCAACAAAAGGAAGAAAAATCCAATTTTCCCATTAATTTGTTGCTCTGAGTTTAGGGTTTCTCTCTCTATGAGAATTGCTTATTCAGGTAGTACTAGACATAAAGTTTTGCATTGTAAAACGTTCAATTTAGGTTGCTTGTTGTAGTTCTTAGGTGTTGAAAGCCAAGTAGATTTCTTCTAATGATCATTAGAGCCATCTTGGTAGATTGGAACTACTTGAGAAAAGAGTTAAACTCGAGTTGCTTAAGCTAAAGGGTGCTGCTGTCTCGGTGTTCTACAGAACTGCTTTTGCTCCGTTGTCATGGTTGGTTATCTTTACCTCTACAGATCTGCCATCTTCGCTTAGCATGAGATGCTAGTTATAAAGCTCACTAGGCCGGTCTCTACGTATGAATCTGTAAAATAGATGCACACAATGTCTTTCATGTCCATTTTTGCAGCTGTTGTGCTGAGAATATAGTTTAAGATCTGCTTAACTGGATATAGATTGCGAGATTATACTATTCAAATAGAAGCACTAGCTTTTGTCTCTACTTAGAGCTAAAGCAGTAGTGTTGCTTTTCCTTATGCTCCCAAGTCATCTCCTTAGCGAAAGATTGTTGCTGTAATTGATGCATCCTAATTAGGGAAACCATATCTACCTAAAACCGTCCCACTGTCGCTCTTCAAGAACAATTACGCATGTTAGGGCTTTAGTCTTTCGGATCTCTAAGAGTAGCCTTATTTAGGAAATGAACCTACTTTATACTCCGTGTTGCTAAGATTCTTTATTGTCGGAAATGAGCACAAGAAATAATGTGCAATATAACTGGTGCATATGTTTTTACCCCTTACCCAAATTCTATGTTAATACCAGGCAATGGAACTGGAGCTGAAGAATCTGTATGATACTGTTCAGTCCATTCATGAGGAAATGTTTTATCTGCGGGAAAGGTAAAGAAACATCTTATCAATTGTTGCAACATAGTTCTCTTCCTTCAAATTGTTCATCTTCACTCACTGTTTTCGAATCTGAATATGATTTTTATATTTCCAGAGAAGAAGAAATGCAGGAGCTGAACAAAGCTACGACCTCCAAAATGTTCTGGTTGTCGTTCCTCTCGCTGTTTCTTTGCCTATCGGTTGCTGGGATACAATTTTGGCACTTGAAATCCTTCTTCGAGAAGAAAAAACTCATTTAGGTTTGTAAAACCATAGATTTTCACTTTTTTATGTTGTACTCCTGCAATACATTTTGAGTTAGATTTTCATTGGGATGTTTATCATCGATTTCATCAAATCTGGAATGCTATGCATAACCTACTGATTGTTACAAAACACGACCATAAACCATGGATGGAATTCAAAGTTTTCAACCAACCATGGAAGAGGGAAGAGAAGCATAGGAAAGGGGTATTTTTTTGTGTTTTCAGAAGATGGTCTCATTAAGCCCTGAACCAATGGCTAGTAGAAGAGAACAGGACTAATGCGATGCAAAACTGAAACAGAAAGTGTCTTACCTTGGTGTTAGATCTCGATGAATTATGACATTTGTCTCATTGTGAAGATAAGTCGTACCCCTGGCAACAATTTATAAAGGTCCAGATTAGCAAAATAGCCTTACGTATTGTAAAATATTAACTGCAATCACACAGCAACTGCATCTTCTGCAGAGCAACTCCCTGTCAAAAAAGACGTGAAGTTGTTAAAAACACAAAGAAAATGATTTCATCCTACTTGAAAAAAGGAAGAAAGAAACAATGTGGTACGGTTCTACGTGATGCTACTCAGATTCGGGATTTGAGTGTGTTAAATATGGGTATGAATCTCAACGAGTACGGTTAAAGTTTTTGAAAATTTTCTATATATTTAGAAGATCATTGGGATTTATCGTCATAATCAAATGCGGGGTACAAAGTGTCGACATGGATACTTCAATAAAGATAAAGATTCCAAGCAATATAGGTTCTACATTCTCTCTCTCTTTTCCTCCAAGTTTTACTTGGATGCAAAAGCAGGATACGTACATACCTTCTAATGTCCAATGCAAAGTTGACGGGTGTTGATGAACTAAGCACGCCTTTTTCCCCGAGATATTGGTGAAGATCACCATGTGATTACACATAATGATAAGATAAAAAAGGGTAATTAAAGTAAAAATAAAGTATCAAAATAGAATAATCAACAGAGAGATTGGATTGAGAAGCATATGTCTATTCATTTACCCCTCTAAAATACTCGGTAATCAACGTAAGGGGCTTCTTGTTAGTGACAGCTCCAAGTGGTCCACATTATGATGGCGGAGCTTTACAAGTACCTTCACTTCATGCCGGAAGTCCTGACTGCACCAACAGAGCAGAAAACACAGAATTGCATTCTAATATCAGCAAAATGTGGAAGCGACTTTCAATAATTGAAGCTAATTATTGTCATTACAGAAAAAATTTCGTGCCTTCTTCAGTGAATATAAGTCGGTTTATCTTTCCTTTGGTTGCTTTTTCATTGTAAATAAGAACATAATTTTCTGGAATATGAGCTTATAATAGATACTTCTAATAAGAAGAAAAGTGCTTATACATTCAACCATCTCTGTGTATAGGGAGATGAGATCATACATCTAAAGACGATTCATGAAAAGGGTTTTTAATGTAATTGTCCATTAAGATTGTCGCATTCAGATATAGTAAATTTCGATTTCATCAAATTAGATAACTAAAAAAAAGCCTTAAAGTGGCACCGTATTCTTCCAGCGATCTTAAGCGTTGACATTGGCGCCATATTCAAAGAGGCAGGTGGCTACGTCGATCCATCCGTGGAGGCGTACGGGTCGTCGTACTCCATAGCGTGGACCAAAGACCCATCTGCCTCTATAAACTTACGGACAGCGGCGTCGTTTTGATGAGCATGCCATATGGATCATCGAAGTCCGGCTCAGTCTCGCCTTCTCTTTCTTCTTGTCGATCGACGACGTCGAGCTCACCTTTCCATCCGTTCCGCGCGCTGTCAATTCTTCGACCGATCTGTGTAATCGGAAAAATAATTTCAATGGCTTATAATGTAAATACATAAATAAAAGTAAAACTGCTCCTAATTTTCAGTTTTCACACTGAAAATAGTTGTCCATAATTACAGTGGGAACCGCAAATTGCAACAATTAGATGATATTTATAAGAAAAAAATAAATTAATTTGTAGATACAAGGTGAAAAGAAAGATATTAAATCTTTTTAAATAATATTATCAAAGTTCGAATCACGAAGTTATGAGTAGAAAAATTAAATTGGAAAATCATCGCATTATGAATTTCTATCGTATCCAATCTGAATTAATGAAACAACAAATTTAATTTAAAAAATTATAAACTACGATTATTTTTTTTTGAATTTATCATTGGTATTGACAGATTAATTTAGATAGGATACTATAAAGGTGAAGACAACCTCCCAACCCAATTTGCTCCATTCGCAAATGTCAGGGTTCAAACTTCTAATTTACTTAAAGAATGTAGTATATCATCCCACTAGTATAAACTTAGTTTATTCTGACATAAAAGAACTAGTTTTGCCAAAAAATTACTAAAGTGAGCAAAGCTACATTAAATAAATACAATACGGAACATGTTCTAGCAAAATATCAGGCAAGACAAATGGCAAGATAGTCTTAATCAACCTCACATATTGGAATAAAATGTTCTGTCGCGATACACCATTAAACCGAAACATTAAAACATGTAATATCTAGCATGCACTTGTGCGTCGCCATGGCTAACCTCGGTTCAAAGCGAGCAGTGACTACCTATAAGTGTTGCTAGACCTCACACCCTATGCCATTATCTTAGCAGACCTCACATAGAGGCTATCTACGACCTTGCCAATGTTGGAGATCGTTTCCAATGTTGCGGGGTAGATGGCATCTGTCTTGGTATCGTCGAATATGATCAGACATCCGTTACCCTGATCCAGAGTCCCTGCAAACTTCTTATCTAAAATCATCTGAGAAAGTTTCTTTTCTACATGGACCACGGGCAGTTCAATGAGTTCGGCAATATGAGCAATCTCAACCCTCGAGAAAGGTTCAATCAACCTGCAGAGATTCTGCTCCAACAGAGTGTCGTACAAGGAAGAAAGATGCCTGTGAACAATAGGATCTTCCTCTAGTTGGGCCTTGAAATCCCGAAGAGCAATCTCGAAAAGCTTCAGGGAACGTTTTGCATGGGCATCAGCAACAGCTTTCATGGCATCAAGTTCTGGCCCCACATATTGTAGCCCGGCTTTCGATGATATTATACCTGCAACATCATCAGCCTGGCTCACCATTATTTTGCATAAAAGCATATACTTGAGGCTAAATACAGCTCGAGGGTCTTCAAGAGCATTGAAAGCTTCAAATGCTTCGAAAAAATAGCTATAAGCAGTTTTGTAGTCCTTCTCCTCTGCATGAAGGATTCCACTCTGCAAATCTATATTACCCTGTTGAGCTGGAGGGACATAAATTGCATTTGCCGCTGTTCTTGCAGCCGTTAGAGATGCCTTGGCTTTTGGCAGGTTACGAAGAGAGAAGTGAAGCTTACTCTCCAACAAATCTATGTCCACTAGAAGTAGCTTGTCATCCAACCTTCTCACCTCCTTAATTAGGCCAGAAAGGAGATTAAGTGCTTCTTGGTACTCCTTGTTCTCCATCAAAAGAGCTGCAAGCTTTGCTTCAACTCGCTGGCGTAAGAAAGTTCGCTTCTCGGCATGAGTCCACTGCACAACTTCTTTGCACAGAGAAATCTGGAGATCTGATGTTCCAGGTATTTTAGCCACATCATCAATTATACCACGTACAATTTTGGCAGTTTTTGCCTTCGGAATTAATGCAAAAAAGGGCCTCAATTGGGTCAGAAGACTTCTGAGCTCCTCTGCTCGGTTCTCTTGTCTGAGAAGATCTGACAGGTTTGTTATGGCCTGCTCTTTAATCCGCAAAGCATCAGGAGAAGATGAAGGATTTTCTAATACACGGTAAAGGATTGAGATGGCTTCGGATGGTGTTTTGGCTTCTAGGGCCTGAGCAATTGAATCAGTGGTTGCTGGGAGATGCGATGAAGACATTGCAAATGTTTAGTAATTCCAAATCCTGCAAAATCTACAATTCAGTTTGGCATAATGGACTTGAACAAATAACAAAATTCCAGTACAAAAGTGATATGAGCGAAGTAACCCAAGAAGTTTCTAACTACTTTGACAGCAAGATTGCAGCCTTGTTAGCCAGTAAAATATTATATCGAACCAATAAACAGAATACATCGAGGAATTTAAGAGAAAATAATTAAATTGTTTCATTGCTCGAGACAAATACAAGCATCATCAAACAACTTCCCTTTTTCAATAAAACCAGAGCTATTCTTACAAAGCCAACTCCAACCTTCAAAGACCATACAACAGTTCATCCTAAAATTTGAAAAACAAAAACTTTATTATTCAATCCCTCTTTGAACATGTATTGCCAGCCTACAAATATTGTTTTTCTTTCCATGTGTCGTGTCAGAGATATACTAAAAATTAATGTGGAATCAGTAACTCTTTGGACAACATGCTCTGCATATTGCAACTACAAAATATGTACTTGCTATAGGTATCAACATATGCAAACGAACAAGAATAAGGGCATGGAAGTTTATACCACTTACAAGTCAAGTCTCACATCAGTAAACCTCAAATAACAACGGACAGTCAATGTAGCTTCTCACAGAAGAAACAATGGTGACTTGTGAAATTAAAAACAAATGCTAATGAAGAATATTTAAACCCTTACATTTTTCGATCAATGATGATGAAACGGAAGTAGTTGATTTGAGAAGTTTGAACATGGATGATATTTGAAATTCCAATTATTAGCTATTCAATGCTCTATTTCTTAGCTAACATGGAAAACAAAGAGCCAAGGGTTGGCGGTAAGATGAACTATAAGTCCATCAAAATCACCTTGAAACTTCAGTTGTTAATCCCTCTTAGCTTGAACATAGAGAGAAGACTGGTTAAAATTTACTTTATGCTCCGTTTTCTGCCACTCAAAACTTCATCGATGACCTTAGATTTATCTATTTCTGTTCCTAAATAACTCATCCTTTGTTTCCTATGCTTATTTTTCTAGCCTACTCATTTTCCACCCTTTGTTTTCCTTCAGAATTCCAAACAAACTGTCTACTGTCAGTGATATGAAAACTCGACCCACCATAAGATATAGTTTAACGAAGAAATTACCACCACCGAAATTTCAAGTAAACATGAATAAACGGGCACAACACCGCCGACGACAAATCGATGGCGGTGACACACCTTGACGACAAAGATTTTGAGTTAAAAATAAGAAACTTAAGATAATAATTTCAAAAAGTAATCATAAAATGAACTAAATCGCAAGCAAAATTCAGTAACTAAAAAAATGAGCAGAAATGTGAAATTGAATATGATGGAGAAATTCAAGGGGAACAAGCAAAACAAAAGTGAGATAAAAATGACAAAGAAAGCTAAAAATGGTGAAATTCGCACCTCAAATCAGAGACTTCCCCGATTAGATTTTGGCCTTTTCAGCTTTTACTTTTGGTCCGAGCTATCTGTCTTTTGCAACAAGAAACTTCAGCGGCGGCTAATCGAAACTCGCTTTGCTGATTTTTGGGCTTTTAGACTTTTGGGCTGAGCTTACTCAAGCTAAGATCTGTAAGGCAATTCATGACTTAAATTACTGTATAGGTTTGTCCGATTTAAGCTCATTAGTTGGAGTCCATTAGCAGCTAAGCAAATAATATCATAGACTCCGAGAATGCCCATACGTCTGCAATCATATCTCTATTGAATCAAATCTGAGAGGTTCATACTTATCATGTACGACATGAACTCAAAAATATCAGACTCATTAGCGGCTTTAAATCAGGATAGACCGGTAGGAGAAATACTTCTTGACTCTTCTCCTGGAAGTTTCGAAACTATACTTGATATTAAAGCTTTGAATATCGGATAATAAATTAGTAATTTTGTATGATAAAAAATTAAAAAAGATTGTTATATTTTTCGCTTTATATGTTATTAACTTAATAAATGATTATTAACTTAATAAATTAGGACCGTTCATCGATTTTAGTCCAAATAAAGGAATTAAAAGGGCATTTTTGGTAATTGATGAAATAAAAGGGAATTAGTAGAAGCTGCTACTGCTACCGCAACTGCAACTAGAAAGCTCCGGTCTATCGTCCTATGTGTTAATGGTGTTGAGATTTGTTTTCGCCTCAATTTTCTTCAAGACTCTTCTTGTTTCGTTCGATTCAATCTCTCAACAGTCCAAACCGTACCAGAAAAAGGTTTTTTTTTTCTTTCTTCGCAGTGATTGCTGAGTTTGAAAATTTTAAAATTAAATTTTGTCTCTGTTTTACTTTATCTTAGAGCTGCAGCAAGTAGTGCAGTGAAGTTATCGCAAATTGTTGTTCCTTTTATTTTACAGTTTGTATATTTACGATTCTTAGCTGTTTTAGCTGAATAGTTGCTCCATTTCTAACTTGAATCGCTTTCCGCGGTTTTATGATCCTTCGATCATTTGTTTTTGGATCAAAATGTTGTCTGGTGGCATTTTAGGAAGTAGTAGATCCGGGAATGAGAAATATAGAAAATTTGGCAGTGCCGTCTGATAATTGTATAAAGGAATATTGGCTGAATTAAAAATTACTAATTAGCTTTTAGATACAAGTTATTCAAGAGTTCCTCTCATTTTGATACATATATTAAGCATTGAAATTGTTCTTGACTTATTGAAATCATGTATTAGTCTATTTTTTTTCTCTTACGAATCAGCATTTGTGCATTTATGCAGCGAAATCCTGCAGACTACCTTATAAGCTTATGATGGATAAATTGTTTTGGAAATGTTTTTTTTATTCCTGAAATAGTTTTATTTTGCTGTGTAACAGTAATTGATTAAATTTCATTCTTGCTGTTGCAGTTTTGATTTATAAGCCATCTTTTTGAAGGGTTTGATATTGCTCTGAAGAAATGCTTGTATCTGCTCTACTTACATCTGTGGGAATAAATTCTGGACTTTGTGTATTATTCTTCACACTGTATTCAATTTTGAGGAAACAGCCTAGTAATTATGAAGTTTATATACCACGCTTGATGGCTGAAGGGAAATCTAAGCTGAGAAGTTCTTTTAACTTAGAAAGGTTATACCATCTACTGGCTGGGTAAAAAGGGCATGGAAGCCATCTGAAGAGGACCTCTTGTCAATGTCCGGCTTAGATGCTGTCGTCTTTATGCGTATTATAACATTTAGGTAAGTGATTCTTACGTAAGGAAGTGTATGCAACTGTCAAGAAGAAAATCATTGGATATACTGTGATTTCTGCAGCTTCATAAGTAATCAATTAAGAGATCTTGGGTTATCATGTGTGTGACAGAGAGAGAGAGATTGCAGAATGGATGGTAACAAAAGATTGATTGTTTAAGTGCAAATAAATTCAATCCTTAACTTCTCATATTTCTTTTATTTTCTTTTCCTTTCCTTTCAGCTGTATGCATGCACTACTTGATCTTTAAGTTTTCCTTGATACTTTATATTAGCATTTTTGTAAGGTTTTATGGAGTGCCTTTCTGACTCAACCTTGTGTTTGTTTATTTTCTCTTGATACTGCAGTTTGAAAGTATTTTTGTTTGCTGGGGTTATTGGTATATTTGTTCTTCTCCCAGTAAATTGCTCTGGAGATCAGCTTCAGGATATTGATTTTGCTGATTTGTCAATAATTCTTTGGATGTGTTTACCATTTCAAATCTAAGAAGAGGCTCAAAAAGGTAAGCTCTAGTTTAAAATTATTCTTCACTTGATTGAATGTTGATTCTGCATGTCTACTTGACTTAGTGAAATAGATGAATACCTTCAAAAATAGAGATAAGTAATGTCATAGAGAGATCATGTTTTATATTCTTAAGTCTTAAAGAACTGGTGATTATCTGTTAGAACTGAGAGGTTTTAGCTTTATCATATGATTAGGGCCTAGTCAAGTGTAAACGGAATTTATTAGTTTTATCATTTTTGGCAGGTTATGGCTCACTTTAGTGCTGTGTATCTTGTTACTGCATTCCTTTGCTATCTGCTCTACTATGTAAGTCTAGTTCTACTCACCAAAGAAACTCGATTAACAGATTTCAACTGCATCAAAGTCCTTAGTCTATTATATGAAATTTCAAGTCTTATGTTTGTTTGAACAGTGTATTATCTATCTCAATGTCACAGGGATGCGAAGAACTTAGCTTGTGTTATTGATCATTATTTTCCTTTACTTGTAAATGATGTTTTAGCTATTTAAGCGAGTATATTGAACTGGGTACTAAGTAGTGATTTTTCTGCAGGAATTTAAATATATAACTGCAAAAAGGATTGATTTTTTTCACTCAACTAAACCTCAGCCTCATCAGTTCACAATATTGGTGCGCAGTATCCCTGTTTCTGCTGGGAATAGTGTGAGAGAGAGTGTTGAAAGGTTTTTCCTGGAATACCATCCTTCTACATACCTTTCACATATGGTTGTTCATCAGTCAAGTAAACTGCCAAGTCTCATTGTAAGCAATTAATTTTAATGTTTTCAGTTCTTTAAGCTTCTAGTTCTGATTTACCCATTTTTATATTTTCTCTTTGGTTCTTCTTTTATTTCTTTTTTTATGTGTGATCAATTAACATAAATAAGCAATATTTTCATCTTAAGCCTGTGGATTTGTTTCTTTGTATGTTTAAGTGTATGCTGGTGGTACTAAAGTGAATCCAGTCTTCTTTTAGCTGTTATTTTATTACTTTTTTAATCCCTTCCAGAAGGATGCAAAAAAATTGTGTAAAAGGCTTACACACTTGCAATCAGAATCCAGTCAGCAGAAGCATGGACATGTTGGGTTGTTTGGGAAGAAGGTTGACCTGGTGGATCATTATGGAAAGAAATTAGAAGACATAGAGGAGAATATGAGATTAGAGCGATCTGAAGTTTCACTGGCAGCAGAAGTACGTGTTTGTACCTGCTTTTTTTTCCTTTCTGTTTGTTATATTTTCCAACTTTTCTCAAGATCTTGTCTAGCATTCTAAATTAAAGCTTATCTTTGCAATTAAGTTGGTTTTAAATTATTTTGTGGTGAATGGAGCATCCTATTGATGATTTCTTGTGCAATGAAAAAGGAACTTCGAGCAGCTTTTGTCTCTTTCAAGTCTAGGTATGGTGCAGCAGTTGCCTTCCACATGCAACAATCGACAAACCCAACCGAGTGGGTCACAGAGCTAGCTCCTGAACCACATGATGTCTACTGGCCCTTTTTCTCATCAACATTCATGAAAGATGGCTTTCTAAAATTGCTGTTGTTGTTGCATGTATACTCCTGACAATTCTATTTTATCCCTGTTCTGGTTGTGCAAGGTCTTACTAACCTAAATCAGTTGGAAATTTGGTTTCCGTTCTTGAAAAGCATTCTAACCGTGTAAGTGTAGATTAAAAGCTCCAGCTTATTTCATTTCAGCATCATTCCTGTTGTTTATCTTCTTTGTCTGCTGTATGTTTGTGTTGCTGCCAAAGCTCTGGCCTTTAAAATTCATGGAAAACTCTTCCAATATTCTACCAAACTATATCTCTCCTTTTCTCATAAAGGAGATAAAAATATCTGAGAAATAAATAATAGTGAAGTTGAGCACATCTTGATGTGGTATTTCTGTTGCTTCAATTTATAATATCAACCAGAGCTAGATCATTGGAATTTTTAAATAGAAGATTGCAGAGTAACTACCAATTATATTAAATTTGTTGCTTTTGATATAAATATTTCATCATATTATAGTTCGTGTGGAAAATGTATGATACCTGAGCATTTTCATGTTATTTATCCATATTTTTCATTTTCTTGGTAACAAAAAGTTGGATTACTATGCGTTATGTTTGCAGAACATTTGTCAGTGAGGTAGTTACGGGGTACCTTCCCAGCCTTATTCTTCAGTTGTTTCTCACGATTGTGCCTCCAATAATGGAGTTCCTTTCCTCCATTCAAGGATACATATGCCACAGTGAAATTGAGAAGAGTGCATGTAACAAAGTGCTCTGGTTCACGATATGGAACATATTTTTTGCAACTGTATTTTCTGGATCAGTTTTATATCAGGTTTTTATATTCCTTGATCCCAAGAATATTCCTGCCAGGCTCGGCGTTGCTGTTCCTGCACAGGTGAGAACACATTTTCCTGCCAAACTTCTTCGACTAATTTTATTCAATTTAATAGGGGAAAAGGGGAATGAGATTCTTTCTCTAGTGGTTCATAGAGGCATAACTAATGCGGAAGAAATATCTGAATAATTTCTTTAACTTAATCCGCTGGCAAACTTGCTACTTGCTTGTATAATGCTGATTCATTACAACTTTAATACTATCAAATCCAATTTAAAGGCAAATGTTGTAGATGAAAATTTGATACATTACCGGGATATAATCTTACAGCTCTCTGTTCATTTCTGTTACGAAATGCTATCCATAACTAATTCAACTTATCATGTATGTTAATTTTGCTAGTTGCTAGTTAAAGTTCAGAGCTTTTTTGACTTTCAGCAAATAGATGTTGTTGCTTGTTGCTATG